TAAAGAATTCCCTTATAATCCCGATATAATATGGTTCCCTTTTTCCCTACTACCCCCCATAAGGAAAAATTACCAGCAGGAGCCTCGGCAAGGGTTCGGGATATCAGATTTTAAACTTTACTGGCGAGATTCCAGCAATGTGGAGCTGTAGTAAATAATACAACAGCAGGACAACTTGTTCTAAGCGCCTTCGTGGCAACATAGTTTAGGGATTCAATGGTCAAACGCACTGAAGTTTCAGCAGGTAATTCATGAAAATTCAGGAAGAGCACGACACACGTAAGTGGCGTTGTCAAGTACAGGAAAACCCTCAAAGGCAGTGCGCGCACGGACTCAAAAGCCGAAAAGGGTCCATGTATGCAAAAGTTGTGTGTTTAGGTACCAGAACGCTACAATCTGAATAGATTTAGGTGCCTAAAAGCCTACGATTTAGAGTACTTTGACCGCTGCAGCTATAGCACTAAAGAAGTTATGTCCATATAAACCGCGCATATCCCCCTTGGCGGGGACCTTTAGGGTACTTGGACGCTTAGGGCCTTAGGGTAAGCCTTTGCCTCACGAGACTGCGCTTTTCGAGACGGTCCTAGCTGAGAGCCTTCACCGCTTTGTCATCAAGTAGGCTTTTAAGTTTTAAGGGTTCAGGGTTTTATAGGATTCAGAGGGTTTCGAGGGTTTACAGGCTTTAGATGGGTGTCTACCTGGTACAAATAATATGTAGAACAATTGTGTTGCTGAGTTTTGTTTTGTGGGGTTTGGGCCACTGTTCTGCCGGCTCTGGGGGTGCGCGTATGGTGTAAGTAAGCTGGAGTTGGGAGGTTCTTCCTTCGGGATCTCATGCTGGACTGCAGGGGCTTTTTCTTAGTGCTGAACTACCAGAGATTGGCGCTCAGGATTCACATGATATGGAGCAGTCAAGATTCGCCGAGGGCCCATCTACCCACACAACGGACCGTTCGGGCCACAAAAATCAGGTAGCCTGCATCTTTTTTATACCTAAACATTGTTCTAGGTACCTGGATTGGATCGTTTGGGTTGCAGCTTGGATGGGTCTAAGGCTGAAACCTTTACTGTTATCTCAAAATTAATCCCTCATGGCCTTCTGGCCCTGAAACTCCTTACAAGTGCAACTCAATGTACCCCAGAATTTACATCCGAATCGTGCACGAGGCACAGCAGTCCATGTGATGCTACATACACGCCCAAAAGACCCTAAGAGTCCTTTACCTTGAGTCTAACCACCATGCAAGTCCCAAAACCTTAAAAACCTTGGCAGAATTTGGCAAAGATTCCATAGACATTGAGGAGTTTGAAGACCTCAAAAGCGGGATCCTGAGCCCAACGCCATGCAAGCTTCAACCCTACCAAGTCTCTCGTCTCCATCGATACCTTTTGGTGACCACTCATACGTGTCATCGCCACATAGCCGTACCA